ATTGAGCACTTTTGAAAACGGAATTTCACAAAAATCGCTAATATTTAGAAGTACAGAAGTATCACACAGCACTATCAAAAATAACGTAGACTACTGCTGAGATTTCTAACACTAGAAAATGAGACTTTCTTCCAATATAGAGGTTATACTGTCATTAAAAAAAATGTGTTTGAAAGTATTACCAAAGGTTTCCAGTAAGAAATTATAGTTGCTTAATATGCATTCTAAGTTGCATAATCTTTTCTCAAATCATCTTTTGCACTAGAAAACAAGAAATTCTGAAAATGTAAAGCCAAAGTTTTCAGCGTTCCTTCCTTTGCATTTGTTCGCCCTCCCCCCCGTAGGCTTAAAAAATACACAGAATAGTTCAAGCAGAATATTTACATTTCCGTTTGTGAAACAATTCAGAGCATCTTCCCACTTAATCTTTTCCACCGTACCCTCAAAAACTGTAAGTTTGGCAACTAAAACTTTGTTTATTTAAGTAACAAAAGCAAACCCTATTTTCACAGAACAAGAACTAGAATCTGCTGAGAACTCAATCCCATTCTGAAGGTGACTACTGGAGAAAGTGCTTCTTCAGAGACACTGCACAGTAAAGTGACTATACAGCACCACTGTTGCTTCTAACTACAAACATTACTATAGGCTTTTCTGCCTTACGGATTTCAAGGCTAAGAGGTAATTCTAAAACATTTCCTCTCTATGGCAAATTCTCCCTCAGCCATTCATACTCTAACTAACTCAGAGAGATGAATGCTAGCATGACACTGTATTTTGTTCAGTCTTCTTCATGAAGAATTCTACACTGTTCCCAATGCACAGGGAATGATTTCATATACTTTAGCTGTCAAAGAAATACACAAAATCTTCCTTCCTTGAATAGAAGCAATTTTAAAAGATTTGTGACATCAGTACAAAAACAGTCACTTCTTCCATCCAAAATATTTGTCTGGTCTTACGCAAACCAAGTCTATGTTCTTACTAAATGAGAAATTACTGATTTAGATTTACTGCAAATAGAAAAATATACCTTGGCAGACAGATGGATTCTTAAGTTCTTCCTGAATTGTTTAAATGCATGTTTCTTCGGTAACCTTACAAACACTGGGAAAAGGGAAAGTAGGGGGGAAAGGGAGAAGAGGAGATGGAAGGTTTTAAAGAAACACATAATGAACTTAAATTATTCTTCAAATATAGGACTGTGCTTCTTTGTGCAAATAAAATCAACATATTTGTGTAGTAAAAGCCAAAATACACGTGTGTACAGAGCTGAGCCAATCTAAATGCTTGGAGCAGGGCTGAATATCAATCAAAGCCTCTGCCTTCTACTATATACTATACAAAATTAACAACAGTTTATATTTCAATACACGATACATTAACCACACAGACTAATGAGGTTACACGGTCACAGAAACTGACTGGATGATTAGAATGCTGTGGTTGACATGGACTAACGTGCTTCTAAAAAGTGAAATGTGATTTAGACATAAATGATACTAAACAGCAGATATCTGATGAGAGTATTTTAAAAAAATTCTTTATTTCCTAGGTAACCATGGCAGTATGTAGACTCTTAGAATGAGAAACTACTCAGAAGAAAATTGTTATTTTAAAAACAGATTTAATATTATAGATGTGATATGTAGAGTTAGAGGGGTAGGTGAAATCCATGTGTATTTTGTTACTACTGTGTATCTGGATAAGTTTTCTTGGGGGCTGAAGAGATGACAATCAGCTTATTGCATCCCTGCATAGGAACCCTGTTTCAAACTACGTGGTCAGAGGAGTCACGTGGCACACCTCTGTTACATGGAATATGCAGGACTCAATCTTCAGTGATTCTTAATCATCTGGACACTCAGTGTGGAGACCTAGTGTACAACTGAAATTTTCAAGCTTCAGCTTCACTGCACTTAAGCAGTTCAAGGCACAATACAGATATGACCTATGAACACTGAATTAAACACTTACTTAAAAGGAAAATTTGCTATATTTTGATTTTGTTTCCTCCGCTTTGTAATTAATTGTTGGAGCCTCTTAGTGGATTTGTGAACTGGTCTTCATCCATACCAGTGGGACAAAAACCTCACGTACTGGCTGTTCAAGTCACTACGAGTTTCAGAACAAAGTTGCAATGACAATTTCTTTACTACACAAAAGTTGCCTCAAACAATGAGATCTTAAAAATCCAGCATTATCTGCAGCCTTCACTTTAGAGTGAAGCTTCCAGCCTTTAATGCAAAAATAAAGTTCCATGAGGAAAAATAATACTGGTTAAAGTAATGAACAAGAATCACGAACAGCAGAGCTGTTTAGAGGAAAGGAACGTCTGAAACATCTGATACAAGGAAAGTCTGATCACTGGAACTCTTCCTCTCCTGCAGCTCAGTGAACCTGGGAGAATTTGGGATAACTGTAACAAGAGGAATACACTCCTCTGGCAGCAGCCCAGGCCCCAGTGACATGTCATACCAGGATGGTAAGAGGTGTCTGCTTTAATTATGAAATAAAAAGTATTTGCCATGTAATCTGCCTGGGAGACGGCACTTAAGCCAACAGCGGATACTTGTGCAGGCAGGGTGAAAGCAGCTAGTACTGGTTTTGGCCAAATCCTATGCCTCACCACAACTTTAATAAAGAAGTTCTTGGAGGTGTTATTTACAGTCTGTATTCTATGTACAGTTTATTCCACCCAGAGGTAATTTTAATATGCAGCTTTACATCTTTTACTGTCTGACAGGAAGATTCTTCCAATTATTGATGGGACTTCAGTGTCAGAGACTGACTTAAAATTGCATATCCAAACAAGGGTCCAGAATCAGCAGCATTTTTACCAGCCTCCAGCCATAAAAACTGCTGTACCTAAGGCAACGCTTTGTGGCCAGCCCTGGTGGCAGCACCTCCGTTTTGTCCCCCCCCATCTAAAGGCAACCAGTAGATTTAGTCATCCTGGCTGCAGGAACAGGCCCATGTTGCTACCCAGCCTCAAACATGCAGACATGTCTATACTGGGACAACAGATGTACCTGCAAGATGTACCATTCAAAGCTCCATCTGTGCAATTTGTTTTTATTGGCATACTTAAGTATCAAAACATTGCCACCAATGTCTCAGATCCTTCAGAGATATGAAGATAATTAAGCATTACTTGTATTTTCAAAGTACAACATGACCAAATATAAATACACGGAAAAGAATAAAACATGCAAAAATTTCCCAACTTTAAAAGGGTTATTAATTCAAAAAATTTATGCTAGTGAGACTTTTGCACAATCTACCAATTCTTACACATTTTTCCATGTCAAGATCAAGAACTGTTAACAAAACACACAGGGCATAATAAAAGATGACTGGCTCCTGAATTATACTTTAGGAGAACAGTGAACTGTTATATCCCTTATTATTCCAGATTACTGATTTGTCAAAGTTATCAGTGTTTTCCAAAGCAAAGACTAATATATTGGCATTCATACACCAGCATAAATATTTGAATTGTATTTAACTCTCAAAAACTGCTAAAGTGATTGCTTATAGAATACAGTAACCGTCTACAGAAATAACAAAAGTGATTTGCAGACTGCTAAAACAGCATCTGTAAGAGACAGTTCAGAATTAATGTGTGTGTTTAAAGTGAAGAGTCATAATGACAAATGCAACTTTTTAAAGTTTCATTCTGCAAATTCAGTTGTATTGTATCACTTGAATTTGGGAGGAGAAAGATTTTGTCACTGTGCTACAGTGACATCTCAAGTATCAAATGCAGGACTCCAATCTGCTCATATGGCAACAAAAATAAGATTAAATGGTCAGAGGTAAAAGCATTCCTTACAACAACAAAAAAAAATATTATTTAGCAATTTTTGGATATAATTAGAAAAAAAATACTAGAAGCGATTACTGTCCAGATGACTTATGCTAGGCCACAAGACAAGCCACAGTTTGTATTTAGAAGTCACACTAGCCTTTTCTAGGGCAGGGATGTAGCACTGAACTCACTCCAGAACCTACTATAGGTGTGTGAGCACCACATGGCTTCCACAAGGCATTTACAAATGTCCCTGTTAACAAGTGGGTGAGTCCATTGTGGAGAGAGTCAAGATGCTTCTGTCGTTGGCATAGAAGGGATCCGATGAACTCCATGATCTAAAGTAACAATAAAAGAAAAGTTTGGCTGACTGGGAACTTACAATCTAGAGGTCAGGAGAAAAGTCTATGAAAGCAGAAGATAAAAGTGTTATGAGATCAGGCAAATGTAACTCTTAAAAAGACTAATCTGTTAATTTCATGTAGGCACCTCCAATTCATTCAAACCTTGGAAAACAGACGGCAATTAATCATGCCAACTGTGTAATTAACAATTGCATGTTTACCCTTCTGGCAAAGTATACTCACAGCTACAGATATCTTCATCACTCTGAACTAAAATGACCGGAGGTTTATATGCCAGTTTTACAACTAAAGTTTTAATATTGTGCCTCAAGGAAAATCTGAATGTCCCACGTGTAGGTTGAGGCACTACTAGGATTTTACAGAGCCTAAGGTCATTCTAGGAAAGCCTTGTGGCACACACAGCTACCCGTGGTTACCCAGTATACTGGTGTTCTGAAGTTAAACATCCGTGCTGCTTGAAGTTGTGGGTAGGCAAAACTTTTCTACAGCCATGAATCTATTTCACTCCTTACTGTTAAGTTAAATTTTAACGCATCAGGAAAACTACCTAACGCCACAGCTTTTGATTAGGATGGGATCTCACAATGTCTTTCTCTTAGGAAGAAATGCTGTTGTTGGCTGAACAAATTATAGGACTGTATATGAAAATCTAAAAAACCAGAAGGTTGGAAGATAGGAAATCAAAATATAATGAACTTGTAATTCAAATATATCTCTGTCAGAAATCTGCTGTTTCTTTAGAACTTTTTCATGCAGTGCCTTGACACGAGTACCACTACTGGGAGATCTGAACAATTCAGTAATGAATACTACTGTACAAGGAATGTAATCCAGCATTCTTAATATTTTAGTGACTGACAAGTTGACAGACAATTTGATGGAACAGACAGACAAAAATGCATTTTTATCATACCACACCACACATTTATATATTAACTGGTAAATGAAGTTATATAGAAAATACTTCTCATATACATTTTACAAGCATTAAGTACAAGAGAGTGTATATTCCTGTGGCCCACTACTCCAAGCATTTGTACTACCTTGATTCATCAAAGTTTCTATCAATATTTGATACCACGTTTGATTTCATGTTCAGTTACCGTATCTGACAATATCATATTTGACAGAATATCAGGAGCACAGAATACAACGCGCTACTACAGCAACATTTAAAACAGTGCTCTTCGTTCTACAGCACTCTCGTAGACAACTTTTTTACCAACACCACTTCATTCAAGAAAAATGATTTGCAGCTACCCTCTGGTTGAATAAGAAGCTGTTTTATAAAACGTAAGTGCTCAAAAGGCCATCCTGTTTGGGATTGCGCGATCTTCTAAAGATATCAGCTTTAGGTAAAAATGAAAGCAACTCCAGCTCATCAACAAATGCTAATCAATTTTAAAAGCATTTTAAAATCATCAAATAGATTTCTTAACTGTACCTTCAGCATTTCACAACCTGTAACTGCCTCATGTGATTTAAGCAATTTGCACATTAAAAGATCAACAAAGACTTTCAAATATCACCAGGAAAGTGTAAGGGAAAAAATAATCTTAGTACCTTGACTTTTAGACTAGGTTTTCAGTGTCAGTGCTGAGTGGAAGAAACTGAAGTTATCAAAGAAAGTAAGAAAGACTGAAATTTTAAACAGTGTCTTTTCTAGTTGTACTGTACGTAAGTTTAAGTGAAACTAGAAGATGGTTCAGTCATTTCAACCAGAGGCAGAAGCAAAAACTACAGAACTTCAAGCCCTTACTGTAGCACCAACTGTTTCGCATATACATTAAACAAAATACTAACTTCCGTGTTCTAGCAACTCTAAGATTACTCAGCTAGATGGAACTTCATCTGAAAATTACATGAGGTAAACTGGCAAGAAACCTGAGAAAAAGCAGTCTTCAAAAAGTGTTTAATATTCTGTCAAATATGATTTATCTTTAATAAATATTTCTAAGTTCTTAAAGAAAGAAAAATTGAGTAGAAAATAGAGGAAATTTTAAAAATGTAAATGCACTGGAGAAAATAAAACACCGAATACCTACCTTACAAGACTATATGTTACTAAGGCAAATGGTTAACTAAAAATCTGCCCTAATTAGATAATAATAAATGAAAAAAAGTAGCATAAATTCCTCATTTGGAAAGCACAGTTTTACAAAGAAGTGGAAAAAAAATCCTAAAAACTTAGAGCAACTGCTGCCAAAATGTTGATTTTTAGACCAATTAAATGTTCACCTTGTAGATTAAAAATTCTATTAAATTGTTTATTTTATACATCATGCCCACTTTCTATACAGCAAGAGTTTGAATTAAAAACGTACTTAATCGTAACAGTTCATTTTTCATATGGAATGAAGCATTTTGCATAATCATACCCTAGATTTGTAGAAACGTTGAATAAATTTCATAAGCAAGCTAGAAGAGAGAAACAGACTGAAACCACAGACACTGTGTTCAACACAAGAGTTCAAAACAGAGATGTACTACACACCATGTCAATACCTAAAGGTAGAATCAGAACTGACAAAAGCTTGTCAGTGAAAATTACCCACACAAGATTTTATACTGAATGAATGATATCACAACCTTTAACCAAAAGAGACAAAGTTCAGATACAAAATGAATTTCCTTTAAAACATGTGACATGCAACCATCTCAGGTTTGCCTTTTGACCAATGAAGGACCATGATATCATTCAGGGACTGAGAGATTATGATGTACAAAAGACTATTTTTATTTCTACCCCCAAATATTTCCATGTTTGTTAGCAGTCCCTCTTTATTTGGAAATGGGGAGATGGCACATTAGCAGATCTAGTAAGAGCTTTTCTCACAGTTATGCTGACTGCAAGAACAATATTGCTCCTTAGACATATTCAATTACTCTAACGTCCTTTGATCCCATTGAGGTTTGTTTCACATGTGGTTGGTGAGGAAAAAAGATTTATTTAGCACATACTTGGGAATGGCACACATGGATTTGACAATATATCTTCCGGAACAACAACAAAAAAAAATGTTTAAAATTCTTAGAGCCTGCAGGCTCTGTTCAGTCAATTACTCTGATTTTAGAAATAGATTATAAAAGTTATACTACAAAAATATTTCATCTTCATATCAATCAATGGCTGAAAGATTTAAAGACTCTCCTTCTAACAATGAAGTATATTTAAGGGGTGGGGGGAACGTGAGTCTTTTGTATATCTTCAGGAGTAATGCAAGCTCCAAGGTACATATTTGGAGGTTGTACATCAGGAACTAAAGGGAAAAGTCTTTCGACTTTACAAACAACTCCTGATTTGCCAAAGAAAAAAAAAAATCATAAAAAGGAAAACAAAAACAGCAACAAGGCTTGATTTTCTAAAGAGAAGAATGTACAAATCAAGAGAAATTACGATAGATACAACACAAGAACTTGCAGTAATCCAAACTTAACGTTTTAACAGAAATCTTTTGAAAACTGTTTTTCCCCCTCCCCATCCCAAAAGAAAGCGCTCCAAAAGAAACAAGAAACCAAGAAACTCCTCTTTTAGGATGAAAGATTTACAGTAAAGAGTTGCATTTCCTACTTAAATAAGCAAAACCTGCAACTGGTTTGCTAGACATCTATTGCTGCAGGCTCATCAGGTTCCAGTTTATAGGAGAATCGCCTGCAGCAAAGGCTATTGAGAGAAATGCCACACCTGTTGACCCGGGTTGGACTACATCTGCCCATTAGTCGTTCCAGCATTCTTCTAACAGATGTGCATGTTGTTTCCCCATCTGAGAAGCAGCACATGGAGTCCAAGCAGTTGATACCTGAACCTGCCTCAGTAAACTGGATGGAGGAAATAAAAGAAAAAATAAACAAAAAATTAAAATCAGTACTCACAGATTCTAGAAATGAAGATGTTATCAGAAAACACTTAGGAAAAGCAGGTTTGCTTAAAGTTAGAGTGTTGGATATTTTTCAGTTTTATAGGAGAACCACAATGATGAATAATATTACCATTTCCCTTACTAAGGTATGGGTATACTAAAATTTGATCTTCCCAAGGTTTGAATGTAGCCTTGGTAAGCATATGGAAATCATTTAGCATCATCTCTGCTTAATATTGGAAATAAACGGGTTAGCAATTCTCTGCGTTACAACTGTCATGAATTCCTGGAGCAGAGCATCATTGCAGTTTAAGCTGTGATGCCTTGATTACCCTCAGCAGAGGTACAATTTATACAAGCTGCAGGTCTGCCTTCCTTTAAGGGAAATCTATCAAGAGGAAGCTTCAGACTAGGTCTACAGAATACAATGCAGCAACCTGACTGCAGGGTGGTAACTCTTCTGCAAGAAGTGTAGAATGCAACTTCCTATAATAATTTACATTATGTCACTACCACAGATACCCTTTGGCTTGGTAAGGAACAAAAGCACATCCCTGACTTTGTGAATATCTTTTATCTAAATGCAAACAAGGCTGATGTTAGAAAGGTTCAGTCACGTTCATGCCAGCAGGAAGAACAGTTCAACATTAGCATAATAAACTTTCTACTGTTCGTTCTTTGTAGGTGAGGAAAAGACCCAAACTAAATTAAGGTGGTAATACAGAGATGTATGGGTTTAAGTTAAGTGCCACTATCAGTGTGCTCCTCTGTTACTTTGCATATTAGTCAACCACGGCATAACTAAAATCTGACTAAAATCTACTGGAAATCTAACTGAAAACTGCTGGAAAGAAAATATCCCAAACTGACTTCAGTATCTTCTCCTAAAGGAAATGAAAAAGGTGGAATGTGGGAATGCTTTTTAATTTAATTTGAAACTCTCCATGAGAGCATCCTGTCAAACAAATGCCAAACACACAGGCTAAATTTAAGCATCCATTATCCTCACCTCACGCTCAGAGACCAGTGGATGAAGACATCTGGGAGGAGGCATCTTAGTCCATGGCAGAACACAGATCACTAAAAGAGCTTCCCCCAACTTTTCACCGCGTGACCAAAGGTCACTGACTGTTGTCTAAAGACTTTGGTTTCCAACCCCAATGTCTTTCATGCCACCCACACTTGCCCAACACTGCAAGGAAAGCAAAGAACCTCAGTTTCCTATGGGAATGGTTTCCTATGAGTGGACACATTCCTTCCTAATCCCCACAAAACAGGCACCTGGACAGAGTACAGCTTCATAACAGAACAATTCCTGTACTACACAGAAGAGGCAGCTAACAGAAACAAGAGGCATTTAGACATCCAAGAGAAAAATCCCAGCTGGTAGGACAAGGAAGGAGCACACAAGCAGAACTGCTGTTTCCACGCACCATTTCCTGTCGCTCCCCTTCCTCAACTCTGTTCTCAATTCCTCATGGTCTCTCCAGACCTTCCAGTCACACCACTTCACATGATGCTTACAGGATTGTCAGTTAAGAACTGTATGAACTTACAGAAAGCATTACAAACTGAAGCCCTTGATTTGGTTGATGCACCTTGGAGGCCACGAATGATTGCAGGCACAACACACGTTTCTAACTTGCACTCATTTGAGGGGGTCTTCTGAACAGAAAATGAGCATTTTCTATGAGAATGAACTTCTGTAAATATCTGAGAGGCAGGAGCAGCATTGCAACTGACAGGTCTAAAAGGAGTTTTGGTTAAAACAAAACCAAAAGAAAACACACCTCAACAGAGCTTGAGACCCTGAGCACCCTTATTTGATGACCACCACATCTGGTCACACTTGTACTGTCCCAGAAGATACCATAATTAGGAACAACACAATTTGCAGCACTGCAGTACTAGCATATATGACCTTCACAGCCACTTCATTCCACGCTCAGAGTGTATCAGGAAAGAAATCACACAGAGCAGAAGGAATTCCTATTAGGAGGTCAGAAAGCAAAATCCCTGATGCACATGCAGTGATCTTCACGGTTGTGTTCACAGCAACACAAAACAGACTCTCAACATTCCTATACTTAGGATTTCAAAAAGAATATTTAGTCCACCCATTATCTTTAAGCAGACCAAGTAATACCTTTAAAGTTACTGTAAAAGGTCATATTACAGTGGTTGTATGTAAGATCGGATGGACCAGATGTTTTTTTTTTTTTTTCCCCTAGAATCTGCTGACCTGAGAGCTAACAGTCCTAGATATTATTCAAAGATTGGCAGAAAGAGGAATCAAGAGTAACCCAAACTAGCTCCCAAGGGGTGAACCCTCAGCTCTGGATTTTGAAGGGCTGGTGTCTCTTCTTCACTAGAATCTCCTTTGTTCTACTCAAGTTAGATACTCACAAAAAGCTAGGATCGTGCTTGAACCACAATTTATGGAAAAGTTAGTATTACCCTTTCTTAAAAAACAGCAAATGTGACCTTATACAAACCTGGAAACAACATTTATCAAACTCACAGTTAAGTGTAAAGTAATACTGGGAGAGCTTTAAGGACAACAGAAAAATAAATTCAATTTTATGTGTAGATATACTGTGTAGCACTGATCGGTGAATATGAATTTTTATATTCATATCCACTACCTGGAAGGAAGATACTTGTATTATGCTAAAGAGTTCCTTTTCTCACTTTTCTCTCTGTGGTGAGCAATTATGACCATAGCTTTATATCGAAGTAAAACCTGAAATGGTAGGGCAGTAGAGCATAATGGTCTCTGAAGATCTAAAACAAATCCCCAGGAAACAAAAGGCAGGAGAGACAATGCTTTAAAATTAGTAAGTATAGAAAAGTATCTGATATTATTCATATTTGGGCTGCAAATAAAGTATTTTCATAAGGTAAGATCCAGGATCACAATAAACATAATACTTTATATGATAATGGCCCATTTCATGTAATAAATCAAAAAGCAACTGAAGTAGAGAATTAAAGAATGATTCAGCTTGATAAGGAAAAATCAAACCCATATACTATGATGAAAATTGTCTTGTAGATACCAAAAATATGGGTATTTTTGAGATGGCTCCATGACTGTCTATATATGATATATAGAAATAAATATATATATATATACACACACACACACATTAGGGTAGAGTGGGAGTACTACCTAGTGAACGTAAGAACTGTCGGGTAGACTAGATGGATCTAGCAGTTGCCTATTGTCCTCCCCTCTGTGCCTGATTTCAGCAAAGTCACATGCTGAGCTGACTGAACCCTTATCTTCTTCCATCTAGAAGGACAGAAAAGCAACAAATCTTATAAAGCACCATGGTTGCATTGCTTTAAAACAGTTACCATTTTTATATGAACTTTCATTTTACAGATCTGTTCTTGAGAGAACAAGGCATATTTAAAAGGTAGAGGCATTTTTTTTCAAATTAATTGGTGGATCAAACACGGTTTATCAGTGCAAAGGTATTAGAAGTGTTCGGTCTTTTTGTGCACCACAGACTACAAAAGGGGAAAACCAACAATTTTGATATCTATCAAATTTTCAGATTTTGGAGTTTTATTTGTTTTCCCCTTTCTAAGAGAAAGGACCATTTCAGTTTGTTTACAGACTATTTTATACACCACAAGACAGACATCTCAACTAAACATTTAATCACACTGAAATATACAGTTGGGACTTTGGTGAACAGGAAATGTATTTAGTCCTGTACATCAAATTAAGAGCACTACAGCATATTTTCCTGAGCCCAGGTCCTAGCTATCAGCATGTCTGAGGCCACGTGGACGTTTCAGAAGAAAATATAGAGGAGATAGTTATTACTATTCTACAGTTAAGTTAAAACTTGCTCCCTACTCTAAAGCTCACTTTCTTTAACCCCTAATATACTGTATACCAAAATCCCAAACAATTAGATTTAAAATTCTAAAAGAAAATATGTGAATGTTGACATCTAACAACTTCACTGGCACTTACGTTTTCAACATTTTTCTAGTTTTTCTATTCTTCACCTCTTTGAATCAAACCTACAAATGCCAAATTATTTAATTATTTCAAAGTCACTAGTCAAAAGTATCTTCAGGTAAGTAAATATGTACGCTTTTGTGACTGAAGATAAATGGGAAATAGTCTATTCTCTCATTTATTCCCTCTTCCTGTGATAGATTCTATGGATTAGTTAACAGCTCAGCACCACACTATACTAACACAATATACAAACCTGTAAAGGAAGAGATTACCCTTGTCAAAGTTTAGCATATTAAGATGTTCTGGTACACTTCACTAGTGTGAATGCATGTTTGCACTTGATTAGTCGTCCTGGAAATTATACATTCCTTACAGAAAACATATACTGTAAAAGGAACAGAAACCTGTCTGTTCCTGACTTCCATACCGCTGGGCTGGATCAGATATGAAAGCTATTAGGAGGACAACCCTATGAAACGGTAACTAGAGGAAAAAGTACAGACAAGTAATGAAGGCTGTAAAGCCAGGGCCAGGAGCCTGGAGTTCTGGAGACAGCTAAAGAAAGCAGATCTGTACAGAGCTGAAGGGAAAACAGGGCAACAGTAGACACATGGGCCTGCAGCTGGGGAAAGAAGAGGGTCGCCTTGGCTGTGCTAAGGCAATGCTACAGTTTGAGCGTCCCAGATAGAACGTTATGCACTGACAGCCTTCCCTGCAAATAAAAACCTTTTTCGTGTTTTACATTTCCCTAGTTTTGTGTACAGTCATAACACACTGTCCAAAGGTAAACACTCTATAAACATAGTTAATCCCATCAGTAAGTAGAATTAAAACATCTATCCAAGCAGCACTCCTCACATGTGGCTTAAGATTTCTGATGGTTCTTATAAAGCACAGAGACCTGCATACGTATGTACACACACAAAACTGTTTACAAAGAAAAAACTGAAGTGAGATACAATGGGGTCCAGTTAGTA